ATTATGTGGCTTCTCTCAATTAATTTTAGGCTCTATATATAAATATCTATATTTTTTACAGTAACAGTTCGGCAACATGTCCAGGCAAAGTGAATGGTTACAACCCACATGGCTGAACACATTGTTTTACAACCCGAAGACATGTCCAGGATTGAACAAAGGTTTTTGGTTTCAATTTCTAACATCTCTTTCCATCTCTTTGCTGGGGCCCGAGCGCATGCACTGGGACAGCGTGCCCTGGATTCGCAGTGGCCTCAAGTGTGAGTGATGGGAAGCCAAACGGGAGTGTGATGGGAGTGGTCTGTGATTTCAAACCATCCCATGTTCAGTGGCTCAGAGTTGGGGTTTGTCAGTGCGACAGGAAAGTGAAGCCCCCGCCCCAGCCCAAACCACGTGTGCCAACATAAACACAAAGATGCGGTGAGCGTCTTTTAATAAGATCTGGTAGTTAGCTCTGATGCATTGACTGTAGGGTCCCTTTGATGCCTATTGGCAATGATCAATGGTCTTGTGAATGAGGCTGGATGAATGGTCTTGGACGCTGTCACCTCTTTGAGCGGCGACGAGGGCCTCGACAAGCCCATCGACAAGCGCACCCACCAGCCAAGGCCTGGACTTTGTCCGAAGTTTCCTGGGCCACAGAGAGCAATTGCACGTGGCTTCAAACAAAAGAAAACTAGAAAATTATTGACATCCATCGACCCCTCAAAGCTTCGTCACATCATTGCTTCGAGATGTGGCTGCCAAGCTGACTACTTTGAGCCGTTCAGAAATGTTCAATCCTTGTGGAACCAGTGGGTCAATCTTCGGAGCTCTTCCGTTCGATGACCAAACTGGAGCAGGATAACTATGTCGGGAACTTGGTTGCTGCCCCTCGCATTCATGCCAAATGTTGTTAACTGGCGCATGCGTGCTTGTCCTGTTGACCCTACCTCTATTCATCTTTTGGAGACCCGCGCTGGCCTTGAGGTCTTTGCCGCAATGAAGGCGGAAGCAGGTACCGAACCTGGCTGTCGAGGGAGTCGAAGCATGCGGTTGTTGGGTCAGCAGCTATGTCGGCCTGGTTACATGAAGTTGTTGTCTTTTGGTAAGACCCGTTTCCACAAGATGAGGGCAGCAATCAGGACAGGGGCTGAACATTGTCCATACGACGCAAGGTACATTAAGAAGGGCCCTAGGCCACCATCGGCAGCATGGATGGCGTGCCATGATTTCTTGATGAAACTTTGGCTAGAGAGCGCCGAACGGATTCCTGATGGATTGAACTCTCGGAAGCGTCCTCGCCAAGGCCTGAATAAGCTAGACCACCCCAACATGAACCGCAGTCAGATAAAACACCTACCACCTGGGTCGATTCGCGACTATTGGAAGCAATGCCAGTCTTGCAATGGTGGCCACACAATCTCTAGAAAGCTGTTTTCGAATGCGACCTGGCACACTTTCAGTGTACATGTTTGAGATGTTTAAATTTCGTTGTTTTTAAATCAGATGTTCAACATATGTCTGGTAAAAAAACCTTTGAACAATCAGGTCTGGCAATCTGCTTTTGCGGATAAGCTCCGTATTCGCTTCAGCACCCATCACAAGCGCTGCACACAGTGCTTGAAGCACCGACTAATATTGAAGAAGTTGGGCAATTGTGCGCCCGCAAGGCGAGCTCAGCAGGCCCTGTTTGACAAGCATCTCGAGCGCCAGTACAAAGATCGTCAGTTTTACTGGAGCGTCAGGGCGCAATCCCGCGTACAATCGCTTTCGCCTCCTGTCTTTATCGTCACTGCTGTGATCGACGGCATGGATAGTGCCAAACATGCCTGGCCGCGATCATCGAAGATGGCGGCCAAGGACTTCGCGAACTTTGTTCGACCTCGCCTGACGAATACAAGTATGATCATACACGGCCATTCAGTGCACACATGGTTGTCGCCACACAACCTTGCAACCAATTCCTCAAGAAGCTGCGAGCTTGTTTCCAGTGCCTTAACATACCTGAGTCGTTCTGTGAACCTACAGGGTGTGTTCCTGCATTTGCAAGCTGACAATTGCAGCAAGGAGACCAAGAACAATTGCATGGTTTGGAACATAGCATCATGGGTTGGACAATCCAAGTTGCAAGGGGCTGAGCTATGCTACTTGTCCTCTGGACATAGTCATGAGGACATTGATATGATGTTTTCCATGATCCGGACTCACTTACAGAGCAACCCAGAGCTTGCCACGCCAGAGTGCTTCAGGCGGTCCATTGAATCCTTCTTTGCGGACACCCGTCGCAGACCACATGAACGTGCACGATATGTACAGCACGTTACACAATTTCGTGATTGGCTGCTTATCTTCGACTAGGTAACTCGTTTCTCCCTGCAATCGTTGGGCTTTGAGCGTGCATGTTCCACAGCGTTCAAACCAGCCGGCGCCGCACATGTGGACATCCCAAGCCTGCGTTGAGAGTGGTTCAACTGGTGGTTTTATGTGGTTTCCCTAAGAGCACCACATAGACCTGTCCAGAGCACCACATTTCCTTCCTGTATTCGTGTTGTTCTCCAAAACCATGAACACATTCTTGTCTAGGAAGAACTGGCTGTCGGACCACTATGGGCATTCTCACATCTTTGGCATTGGTGGCCCTGGTGCACCCCATGCTTTCAGATTGCGTCGGTTCCTTGACACAGGACTCCCTAGGATTGAAGCCCTGTAGCAGAATTCGGAAACGTAACACTGGCAGGATTCAACCGAGAAGACTTGGACTCCAAGTTCTGGAGCACTGTTCCATATCGCCCGGATGATCGCGATGTCATTCTGGAGTCCGGGTCCCAGCAAATTCGTCTGCGCTTCGCCAGATTCTAGAAATAGTCCAGGTATGTCCAGCTTGTGTCAAGGACCAAGCAGTTTATGAGTGACCTCGCCTACAACAAACCCATGCTGTACCTCCCTTGGAGTGTCATTTGCCAGTCGATGGGCAGCGCGCCGCCAGGCTCATACCAACACCCACCAAAACATCTTCCAATAAAGAATGTGTATAGAAGGTGCGTGTTCTTTTTTGGCAGCCTTCATCGACTCCCCCGAGCACCCCGACAGCAAAGAGAACAAGGATTTCAGGAGGTATGCGAAGATGCTGCGATCGGTCCTCAGCATCGTGCGACAAACAGGTCGATTGACACCAATGCACCGTAGATTTCATTGGTTGAAACGACCCCGAAATGGATGTACTTCTTTTTTGCAAGGTGAACATCCTTACGACATGCATGAAGCTGCGCAGCTTTTGGAAGACATCTCCAACGGTCGACCGCGCCATAGCCCTTACTTGGATGTGAGTTGGTTCGGGCCCCATTGTCTCTGGACCTCTGGACCCTTACAGTAAGTTTTGTTGCGTCGCTCGCACGTCTGAGGGCTTTGCCCCAAGCTGGGCCGCAAGTTGGCCTGGCAGTCGGGCCACCGGCGGTGGGTGTTGGAGAAGATCTAGAAGCGGTAAGTGACCAAGTTTTTTCTTTTAAGTCAGGGTTGAGTGAACTGACTGGAATCACAAACTGGGAGCTCCTTTCGGAATTAAGGTGGCCAATTCTTTGCGACTGGGTAGGAAGAGACCTGAGTCTGCCGACGCAGCCCGCTACCGGACTGCAATCAATGAGCAGGCTCTTTTTCAAGCTGCGTCGCAGCTTTGGGTGGAAGGCGTGCCTATGCAAAAGGCTTTGAGTATAGTTAGCTCTACAATTTCCAAGGTCTCCAGGTGAGGGGGTAGCTCACCTAGCACTGCTCACCTAGCACTGGACACAGGAGGCTGTTTGCTAGAGTCGTGGATTTGAAAGAATAATTCCACACATACCGTACCTATTTCCTAACATTGCCTACTGTCACCGGGGTATCTTCAGCAAACCCTGTGTTTTGTGAAGAGTGTGTCAAAAATAGATGGATTTTGTGAATAGTGATTCCTACACAATTTTGTGAATAGAACCACAGACCAGTTCCGTGAATAATGTTGTCGTCTTTATTCACTAAATCCATAGGGGATTGTCCAGTTTGGTATGCCGTGAAAATCACGGCATTGAAATCTAAAGGGATCGCCTTTGGACCAGGTGGCGCGTGAATAAAGTGGTCGTGTTTATTCACTAAATGGGTTTGCATTTTGACAGCCTATTTTGTGAAGAATGTCTCGTTCACAAAATCTTCTGTGCAAGGAATATATCATTCATAGATTGAAGTTCAAATACTTCCAAACCAACCATCAACCTAGATCTTCCTTGGGCTGCCCTGCGTTTGGCCAGGACACCATGGCGCCAAAGAAGCGGACCTCGGATCGCCGGGGCGGTGAACCGAAGGCCAAGACTTCCAAAAAGGTCGGGGAAGGCCTCAGTGCCATTGCACCGGAGTCAATGGCCCTTCCGCATCTGAAGATCTATGAAGAATGGGCGTTTCTGTGATGCAACCTAGGAAGTTGTGTTTCAAACATGTCTGAACAAGCCACACATTATGAGCAACATGTTTTGTGCAAGGACCGAGAACTTGGAGCGGCGCAACAAGACTTTGGATGTCTTTCTGTGCGAGAACCTGGCTTCTGAGGCAGGTTGCGAGTCTTGTCATGGGTGTCATGGGTGGTTTTGTGCTGTCTTATTGGAGGAGACAGCAGTTGGCTTCTACACTTGGTTGGAGCACACATTCCCCGCAGAAGATGGTGTGTGATGGGCTCGTATTGAAAAAATACAAATGAATACAAATGAATAGTTTCCATATGTTGCAATTTCGTTGGGTTCGAGGTCCTATTTGAGAGAGGTGGACATGACTTCTTCAAATTGCTGGCAATTGCGCCCTTGGATGCTTCCACATCGGGCGGACTATGGCCTCCGGGGAACAGCAGATGGGGTTCGGGTCCTAGTCAGTTGCTGAGAACGGTTATCCTATAGTTATCAACCAATTTTCCTCCCCAGGAAGTACAGCACAACCTCGCGCTCCTGGTGTTGTTGAATGGGTTCCAGTCGGACGCCAACGTTCCAGGAGTAGAAAAACTGACCATGACAACCGTTCAACCTGCCTGGCTCCAGGAACCAGCAACACATTTCAGGTTGTGTGAGGACTTGGGCATGGATGCCAGCGTGAACCTGGTGGGCCCGCAAAGGGCCTTTGCAGTCAAGGGCTGGAACCGTTGCCTGGCATTACTAGGGGTATGCTTCTGCGGCTTTACCACCCCAGCGCTGATAGAGGCGAGGCCTGCTTGAGGAAGATTTCGATGGTCATCATATGTCCTCATCGAAGGACATTGCTGAAGATCGATCTAGATTATATTATTGTCTTGCACAGCTGTCGAGGCCATGCCGGACCATGTGAAGAGGAGACCAACAATGGGTTTGAGTATGTTTGAGTGGAACAATATGGAACAACTAGATTCCATTTGGTATTGATTGCAAAGGAGCTTCAGAACTATCTATGCAAACAGCGTCGAACCTGACATCTGCCGTGTGGTCAACACGAATCGGGGTGAGGGACTGAGAATGTGGTGGGTATTAGTGCTGATTGAACCCTCTTGGAGTCCTTTGTCCCTAACCTCTTCTGCGCCAGGCGTGACATGTTCAACGGTGGGGATCCGCCGGAGGCCCAACGCCTTCAACATTGTTTGGCAACTGGAGCTATTGATTAGATCTGGAATGTCAGAGCAGAACGCCATCATTTCGCTGGAGGCACTTCTTAAAGAAAAGATGACAATCAAACCAGAAGGAATCAATTTGAGTCATTCAATTGTTATTGTCATTCGATTTTATTGCTGAACCGTCATCACTGTAACCCGTCAGAACTACGAAAGCGCGGCCCAAGTTGCGTCCGTGTACTCTCTTGGAAAACAAGAGAGTCAAGCAGCAGTTGCCCTCCTGCACAAGATACCGAAGTCGGTGAAGGAAGCGCTGACGGCAATGGTGAGGCGGGGTGCAATGGTTTCCACTGGTGTTTCTATCTCTTCCAATGGTTTCCAGGGTGCAATGGTTTCCACTGCTTCGCCAGGCAGTATGGCATGCCGCGCTTCTTGACGCACGAGGCCATAGCTGTTGGCCTTCTGAGCGACAAGCACTCCACGGCGACCGGTCCATTTGGGAATTGGAAACAGGAACTCACAAACAGTGAGAATCTTCTCCAGACCCTAATCAATCGAATGGAAAGGGATTGGCTAGCATCACCACAAAAGCAGCGTCGACCGTGGCATGTGAAAGACCTCGAAACTTTGATCCAAATTGATTGGGGATGATTGTGGTATTTTGTTGGTGCCCTATCCTCCAGGGTCATCGCAATGCGCCCAAGGAAGCACTTCAGAGGAACTGCGGTGGGTATTTGGCATGCCTGGACCTGTTTCTCAAAGCTGTCCCGAAAGAGTTCGCTGACAAAGCACTCGTGGACATTCACAAATCGTTTTTTGGTCCGCTGTCAGTGCTTGTGCATACCCATGCAAGACCAAAGAGAGTAAGATCGGTTGCTATGTTGTTGCCCAAGGTTTGAGCTTCGCCACGGGGACGCAGACATCAGTTCGATGCTGGAGAATAGCGTTCCGCCACCTGACCTCAACAAAATCAGCATCTTCAGCCACCACCTGACAAAATACAACCAGGAGGCCTTTTGTTTCCTGAGGTGTTTTTAACCAGCGTCGGAAGAAACATAAAAAACATGAGTATGCGAACGCCGCCTTCGAGCCCTGTTGCCTGGCCACCAGGCTGAGCAGGAAACCCGCAATCGCGCTGCAGAGACCTTTGGCAGCAATTGGTCAGAGTGGGAAGTCAGCCTTTCAGTGGAAACATGTTTCAGTAAGAACAGGGAGGGAACAACATGTTTGAGCGTCTGTGACTTCTATGTCAAACCACCTGAGTGAGGTTGTCCCAACAGCTCATGAACACCACCATGGAACAGCTGAAGCTTTCCATCAACGCTGACATGATGAAACTGCGGAGCTGGTTGGGTCGCTGGGATGTCTTTGCCAGTCAACAGGCGGGGTGCCAAAATCAACAAATGTTTGTGGGTGGCCCACATCTGAATAATTTGCTGATATTTGCTGTTTCAGGTGTTGCTTGATGCCAAGTACATGGAGGACCGCTACATGCGAGGCAAGAAATGGTGCAGCGAGTTCATGGATGCTCGCCACAAGCTCCTGTGCTTGAGCACCCTGAATCTGGGGCACTCGACGATTGTCTCGATGCAGTCGGACATGGGGCCTGACACGCGTCTGAGCTGCAATTGCCTAGACTCAACAAAGAGTTTGTGGTCTCTGAGCCCTGCGTGAAGACCATTGATTGACATTAGGCTCACAATCATCGTGCTAGACACCAGCTTGTGGCCCTCCCGTGCTTTGGAAGTTATTGCGCAAAAAAACATGCATCATGAAGAAGTTCCTTTTGAACATGAGCCCCAAAATCGAATAAGCACATTCTTGGACTACATTGAGGACACCTGCTGATCGACGAGGCCATTTCTGTAGCCCATGCGGTCAGTTCAGGGAATTGCAACACGATGTGCTTTGCGTGTCTCCCTCAAGTGCACTCTTCGACCTCCATGGCAACTGTCATGAAGAACCGCCGGCTGTTAGAGGACAAGCTGTTTGCGTACTTTGGCAGCAAATTGCTGGAAGGCCGCGGAAGTGGAAAACAGTGAATCAAAAGTTACAATAATGGTCGTGAATACCAATCGTGACAGTGCTTACTCTAAGTGTGATGAACTCTCACGAGATCAGCTTGAACTATGCCCCACCAGAGCATGGTGGAGATCGACGGAGAACATCGCAACAATGTCCTTCGTTTGCGTTGAGCCATGACATGAAAGGAATGTATTTTCATGATAATGGACACCTTCTGCTCAACATTTTCTTGAAACATCTTTGAAACTAATATTGCAGGCGTTGCTGCAATGTGTGGAACAAGCCCTACGTGGCAGAAGAGTCGTGCACTACTGGGCTCTTTGAACAACATCCCGCGTAGCAGAGTCCAAGATCTTGTGAATCCAGATGTGGATCATCCTTTGGCTCCACACTGGCGGGTCCCTTTTTGTGAAAGCAATGGTTCACATGTAACATGCTACATTGTTCACAATTCAACTGTTTGTTGCTCCCCTCGTCATATGATCCAAATGCTTTTGCCAACCACTGGAGGTCCAGCAAAGGGGCATCAAGGCCACGACCCAAATCATAGCCGGCCTTCTCGAAGGCGTGCTGACCGCGCCAAAGCAGCCCGTACTGGTCGTGGACCTTTTGCCAAGCAGGCGGAAGTGGGCAAACCTTCTTTTGCAAAAAACTGTGAACCCTATCAAACTGTTAGCAGATTTGAACTTGTTGTTCCGCTTTCAAATCAAAAGTGCTTGGGAAAAATTGTCAGGTTTGGAGAATGGAGCAAAGCATGCTGGAACCTGCAAAAGCGGCTCCTCAATGATGATGAGTTGATGGACAACCACCCTGATGTCAGGTTTGCAGCCATCTACCATTCTGACCAAGCGGCTGACCACAAAAGCTTCCAGGAAACAGTGACGGGCCTGGTCATGAGCGAGCACTGGGATGTTTCAGACCAAGCAGGGTCTAAATCGCGCGGCCGAGCTGTTTTTGGTGAGCCCTTGCCCACCCTCGAATCTCTCGCTGTCGTGGATGGAGAGTTGAAGATCCCTGGTGAATGTCTTTCCATCGAATGTTTGGTATTCCTGCGCTTGTGTGGGCACCAAAATCTATAGAATACCAATGTTTGATTTTTTTGCCGTTATGCCCTCTCATCCATGTCCAACTCAGGATTCCAGAGATGGTGCAGCAGAAGCTTGCAGGTCAACCGGAGTTCGTGAAGAAGTGCATGGAAGAGATCACCGTGGACACTAAGTTCACAACATCCCTGAAGAGTTGGCACACATCGACGACTGCGCCAACATCGACGACCGCGTCCACAGCCAGCTCCGCTGACCTGCCTCCAAGAACTCTTGCCAAACCTGATTGGCGGGCTGACGGGCCATGGAACTTCCGCCGGCAAATCACTTCTTTGGAAACGATGCCCGCTGTCGACTTCGAGCCATTGAACCCGACACTTGGACTCGGAAAGAAGTTGATCCTTTGGGAAGGTGTGAATATGTCTTCATTTGTCCAAGTGTCTAGGAAACTGTCCAAGCGTCACCCTTGCCCAGGCTTCTTGGCATGGCCCGCCTTCCGAATCAGCCCAACCTCTTTGTGGTTGCAACCCGGACCAACAACATTTGGCTCATCAACCGGGATGACAAGGATTGCACCCTCTCTGCAACGGAGCTCTTTGGGTTCAACACAGGGTCTTACACTGAAGTTCCCTCAGGCCAGGTATATAGCCCACAAAAGCTCAAGTGTTGTCGGTTTGGAAAGGGCCAGGTATAGCCCACAAAAACCCAAGTGTTTTTAGATTTGGGAAGTGATCAAAGTTCCAATCCGTCGCATGTTCGAACTGTGACAGGCGATGGTGATGTTTTGGCATCTTCACTCTCGTGGCGCATTTCCAAGGACAGTGCTTTGATCGCAATGGCAGATACAAAGACCATCACCACCATCCCTGACGTGGTTTGCAAAGTGGCTGGGGATCGGGGTGTTATGGAAGTACGAGTTGTTGACCACAATTTGGCGGCGAAAGTTGAGGTGTGGGTTTTGTCTTAACATGTCTCAACATTGGTATGCCTCAACTAACCACGACCATTAGAAAGCAACTTCTCCAGCCTTGCCCTGAAGGTGGATGGTGCTGGCCTGCAGCAAACGGTGCCGTATAGGTATACAGTGACCCCGGCAGTTCAGGTCAATTCATTCAGGCCCAAGGAGATCAGTTCGAGCGAAGACAAGATGAATCTTCGCCACCAAATGTTTGGAGCTTTGTTCCACGGCCGCTACACCGATCTACCTTCTGCTTCACACTGCGGAATCATTTGGGAGGTTGGGGGTGGAAAGACAACTGCAGGTTGATGCCCTTTGTGGTTTTCATA